CAGAATTCTGTCACATTGTGCAATTGACTAGATCAAACCCCGGGTCTCAGGGCACTTCATTGACTTGAAAAGAAAAAGGCAGAGAATGGGAAAGCCAGACCGGGCCACCGATGTAGATTTAGGACAACCCCCCCTCCCTCCCTCCCTCCCTCCTGCGCGTTTTTCCCTTTTCTCTCCCCCTTCTCCTGGAGACAAATCCATCCCACTGCCAGAAAGAGTCATTTTGGTTTGAAGAAAAAGAAGAACACAGAAAACAAGGGGGGAAAAAAAACGGGCCGTGGGAAGTCTCGGAAACGTTTCGGGACACCCCCGAAAGGCTGCAACATTTTGGGAAACGTTGGGAACAGCGGCTTGAGTAGACCTGTTGATTCAATGGACCTTACAGAGGTGCCGACTCACCAAATCAATCCCCATTGATTCAACAAACCTCCTCTGGTCTGACCTGTTTATTTATTTTAGATAATTTTTTTTACCCCGTCTTTCTCCTTAAAACGGACGCAAGGCGGTTGACGTCATGAAAAGACGATCTTTAATAGATACCGGATTTCGGCCAATGGGACTTAACTTCTGAGTTAAGCTGCGCAGGACTGCGTTGTATCCCGGTGTAAGCTACAGTTTTACAATCCAGTCAGCCCCCGGGCTGAATTCGTGGAGAATTACTTCCGAGTAGACTTGCATAGAGCTGCATGTTTTAAAGGACGCAGCCCTGTTGGTCTGTCGCCGCAAAACGAGCGAAGAGTCCCGTGGCACCTTAAAGCCTAACAAGGCTCGTTGGGCAGCGCCAGCTTCCGGAAACCACAGCACGCTTCTTCAGGGGCACCTGAACAACCAAGTGCGCTGCAATCCACGGAAGCCGGCGCCATATATATCTCCTCAGTCTCAGTCTTAAATGTGCCGTGAAAGGACTTTCCACCCATTCTTTAAATTTGAGCAACAGCCCCTCTGTCAGAGATTGTCCTGTTATCTCCCCGCAATTGTTAAAAAGTGAGGAAGACCAAAGATATTAACAAGGTCGTGCAGCCTCAGCAGAGGCCACGGGGCTCAACTCCGAGTAATCTCGGGCCAAGGGGCTGAACTGGGAAGAAGGGATTTAGGGTCTACGTGCAGCCTTCGCCCCCCGAAGTCCTCTGCACCTCGCTTTCAGAGTATTCCCGCTCATTCTAGTAGGTCTACTCTGGAAGCAACTGACGGGATGCTGCTGCGGAGTTTGGTTCCCGAGCAGAGGGGCTTGGATCGCATGTCTGCGGAGGAAACCTTAGCATGCCCAGAGACACTGCATCGTACATCTAAATGTGTTAGGGCTGCATAAAAGGTATATATATCGTAGATGATTTCTGTTTTGGAGCCCTGGCGGAAAAGGCCGGCCGCGTCCATTCGGGCGCCCTTGCACGGCTTCTCCAACAACCACAGAAAGTGGAGAGGGAGGGTTGAGGGAGGTTTGTCGCGTTATTCGTTACAAACGGCTTCCGATGCAGAAAAGAAGGAGAAGGGAAGAAAAGAGACCGAATCCTGGTTTAGATACAGCAAAACGACTTCCCTTTAACTCTGGTTTGCGGCGGCCGTTCACACGGAAAACCGCGGTCAACCCTTCCCATTGCCTCCTTATTCCGCTTTACGCCTGCACAATTTCTGTGGGATCCCTTCGCCTCGGAGGGCGAGACTTGAGGCGACTCCCCACGTCGCCTCTCGGCATAACAGCATCCT